ATTGCGACGTGCCAGGTTTGGACTATATCGACTACTTCCTTCACTTTATATGTAACTTTTAGAAAATGTCAAATTTTGCGTGATATACCATATATAGTTGACCGAAGTATTCCATTTTCATACTTCATCAAATACAGATAAAAATTTTGGTATGGGAAAAATTTGAAGAAAATCGAACATTTGTATTCAATTTTATGCAAAATCATATATTCTGATAAATTCCATAATCAAATTTCTGTTTGAGCGACATATGTAGATATATCAAGTTGTAAAGAATTGTCGACTTGTTTCGCAAGTTTTGACAGATATAAATATTGGATATTGTGGCCATTTGTGGGTGAGGTTCCAGAAGGGTTTCTTTACAACAGATCTTGCATTAGGAACAATATTTGGATGTGTGAAATTTGATTAAAGTTGGATGCTTATTTCGCTTTCTTTAAGCGTTTTGTTTTTCAAAACCTTGAACCCTATGTGGGGAGGTACCTGAAGAAATGGTCCGATCTCTACTATCTTTATAACAGGTCCTGTGTTGATGGAAATATTGAGATGTAACAAGTCTGAATGGAATCGGATGATGATTTCGCGTTTTATGAGCTTCATGGATATTCAAAATGTTGACCCTTTGTGGTGGAGGTAGTAGACCGATATATTCCATCTTCATACCAGACCCTGGGGTAATTAAAATGTTGTGATTTGTGTAATTTGAAGACATCGGTCAGTTTCATGACAGTTTATAAGAGTTATATTCGAAATGTTGACCCTTTGTGGTGAAGGTACCAGAATGGGTGGCTTGATATATTCCATCTTCGCACCAGACCTTAAAGAAAATCGGAGTTTTAAATCACATTTTATAGGAGTTATAATTATTCAAACGGTTGCCCCTTTGTGGGGGAGGTACTTGATGGGGTAGACCGGTATTTTCCATTTTCGCACCTGATCTAGAACTGATGCAAATATAAGGATTTGCAAAGTTGAAGCAAAATCGGATTATCCTATCTCTTTCTGTGCAGTAAAATATAAATATATTTTTTGAAAATGTTGACCTTTTTTTGGGGGGAGAGGAAAGTAGTACCAAAAGGAGTAGGCCGATATTGCCCATCTCCGAACTCAATCTAAGTTTGATAATAGTATTACGATGTGCCTAGTTTGCACTAAATCGGATACTCGCTTCGAGAGTTATCGTGCGGCCTATACAGCAGACAGACAGACGGACGGACATCTCTGGATCGACTCCAAATGTACTGAAACGGATTTGGTCCATTTTGGCCGTATCAAATGATGTATACCCTCTGTAGCCATATGACTGAGGGTATAAAAAATAAAGTAATTAACGGATGATTTATCAACGTCGAGACGAAACGGCTGAAGCTAGAGCCATGAAATTTTGGGTAAGGGTCACTCATGGCCCGAAGGGTTCAGATAAGGCTGGGTTTTGAATATTCGTACTAGAACGATACGAAAAGTATTAAAAGTTTCTTAATATGTTAGCCTTTGTATTTGAGGAAGCAGTAGAGTTAGAACTCTTAAATTTGGAATGAGGATCAATGATGGAGGGTATGAAGGATATTTGGAAATTTGCAACATAAATGTACGAAAAGTACTAAAATGTACTACATTTGGTAGCATTTGTTAGATTAAAATATTGAAATTTGGATTGGAATCAAGGTTGAGATGTAGGTTCGATGTAAGGAGATTGTTTAATTTCAAACTTAATTTTCATTAAAATGCGTTAATATTACATATTTGTAGCACGGGTGATTTTTCTCCTCCTTAGGCAATGTCTACTACCTCTTAAAACGACATTATACTTCGTACATAATGTCAAAAGTAATCACGCTACCTTTCGAACGAATTGAGATAGAAGGCTAAAATTTTGCACACCTGTTTATTTTTCCAGTAGGCAAATTAAGTTCGTAATTGTTTCAAATTTGGTATTTGAAGTTCGAATTGGATACTACAGCCTATGACAGAAAATTGTCTGTGCAGGTCCACGTCATCGTATAGCTTCCATATCACGGCACCTACCAATATTCGGTATTTTAATGATTTTAGCGACATTATTAAACGGAATTGTCTCAAATTTGGTATTTGAAGATAGTAATGGATACTACGGCCTATGACAGAATATTGGCTATGTAGGTCTAGGTTTTCGTATAGGCCCCATATATCAGTACCTACCTATATTCGGTATTTTGACGATTTTAGGTACAATACCCATCGAAAGTGTTTGAGATGTCGTATTTGAAGTTCGTGACATACAATTGTCTATGATGGCCCACGTCGTATAAACCCCAATATGTTTTTCAGATTTAACAGAGTTTTTAACGGATTTTATTTTTTGAAAATTTCCAAATTCGTTCCAAATGTTGGAGGGTATTCATACTGCTTTTTAACTTGTTATTTTTCCTAATGTCCATTAGAATTAAAAAAAAAATAAAATATTAGCTTTCGCCATTAATTCCTTAATTACACATTTCAAATAAAATAAGTTCATTTTCGTTTTAAACCGAACTGACCTAACACAATTCGCGTAATTAATTACTATCAATTGTTTTGGGTAAACAAACAAAATAATCTTTAAATAGCCGAACTGTTCTATTAATGTCATACATTTATCTTTGGTATAAAAACTGTTATAATGCAATATGTTGCCGTATAAAAGTTGACGCTTTGCTAGACACTTTTCCAACTGCAACATGTACTTCATGCATCTTTCAGATACACTTGATTAAGTTTGATGTTGCAGATACTTTTATGTATCCATGAAATGTTGCGGATAAATAAAACAAAGCAGCAATGTTGAGAAGCAACATGGTGTTCTTAAATTGGTACAGTGGTGCGCATATAATCACGCAAATGATTTTAGCTGAAAGGAAAAATAATAAAATAACCCCAAAAACTTGATTTGAAAAAAAAACAGCATTGACGTTTTCAATGAAGTATATATAGTAAATGGGAAAACCTTTTCAGAATTTTATATTATGCAAAAATGGATAATTTTTTAAATAAAAATTCACAATATTATGATATTAATATATTTAATTTAAAAAAAAAATATAACAACACTTTTCATAAAAAGTGTTATATATATATGTTTATAAACAAACGGCTTAAGCTAGAATCTTGAGGTATTACTCCAGGGCCAGTTATGGTGCGTAGGCGTGTGATAAAGTTAGTATTAAAATGTACTAAAAATCGAATATTTCAAATTAGACAATGGAATGAGGTAGAATTCTAAAATTTGGAAAGAGTCTTTGTTGGAGTGAAAAATAGATGCACCAAAGAGTTTTTGAAAATTACGAATTTAAGGCAAAGTGCTAAAATGGTACTAAACTTCTAAAATGGTACGTTTTGGTATTATATGAACTGATAGGACTAAAATCCTGAAATTTGGATAGTAAGGCTGATCGATAAAGGTAGTTTTGAAAATGTGTACTACGTGGGCGAAATGTACTAAATTGTACTAAAATTGGAACACTTTGTTTTGGGAGAACGGATGAAACTGGAATTTTAAAATTTTGTAATGGGGTCCTTGTTGGAGGTTGGTTTGTGATAAGGAAGAGGTTCTGGAAATGTGTACTACAAGTGCACGAAAAGTACTAAATAGGTCTATGTTTGGTACAACTTGGCTTAGGGTGAACAAATAGTGCTTGAAATATTATATAACAAAAATATTATATTATAAGATAAAAATATTTGGCATTAGGATCGCTTCTCATATGTAGCCTGGATATATGGAGCTAATTTCGGAAATGTGTACTATAAATGTACGAACAGTACTTAATGGTACTATATTTGATATTTGGTGAAGGATTAATGCTGAAATCCGGAAATGTGATACGGATGTCACTCTTGGTGCCTGCTTAATAGAGAAGGAGCTGGTTTTGCATATGCGTGCTATAATAGTCTAAATTGTACTAAATTTGGTAATGAAGGAATTTAAAGAGCAGAAATCCTGAAATTTAAACTGTTGTTGCCAGAGGTTGTGATATAAAGATTGCTTTGAAAATGTGTGCCATAATTGTTCGAAAAGTACTAAGTGCTACTAAATTTGGTATTTTGTGAACGTTTAGAACTGGGATCCCGAAATGTAATGGTGAAATATCTGTTGGTGGTTTTCCAAATGCCTGCTGTAATTGTTCGAAAAGTACTAATGGTACTAATTTTGGATCACTTTTTGTGTCTTCGATGGATATGCGTACTAAATGTTACTAAATTTGGCATTGGGTCAAGGGATAGAGATACAATTCTGAAATTTGATATTGGGGTCGCTGCTGATTTCTAGGGGTTTAGACAGAAAAATTTCATGCATTTTGAAGTTGCATAGTTTTTTTTAGACTTTTTGATGTAAAAGTTTCCTATTATTCTTTCCGAAAAGGAAAGACTTAAAATATATATAAAACCTTGAAAATCTGAAAATTTAGTACGATGTATGAAATTTTGATCACAAAATTTTGTCAAACTGAAAAATGTTCTGCATTTTCAGTACTAAAAATGATTTAAAAAATATGTAAAGTATCTTCTAAACATAACGGTTTACATTTCCACATTTACCTACCAATTTCGTATAATGCAGTACACTAGATATATGTGTAATATCTTGAAACATAAATTAGTTAGCATACTTTTAGGCGTTACAAATCCTTCATAATATTCTTATATCACTGAAGTCCATCCACATAATAAATAACCCAACGTCTTCTCTCTTTGCTTTTGACAGTTATGAAAGATTACTCTACCAGAAACTATCTCATATTCTGGATACGAATGCTAATATTAAATACAGGACCACAAAATTTTACCAAATAATTATTATATAAATATATGCTTGGAAAAGTCACCTTAGAAAAAGTTCACTTTAGAATGTAATGAGAGACATTTAGAAAATTATTTTTAATTTAAAATGACTATTTTATTCTTCATTGCTTACAAGCCTCAGAAAAAAATATCCATTTCTCTTTAAGAAACGTGCAAAAATTAAATGCATAAAAAAGCATTCCAATATTTCTTTATTGCATTGTCTTACAACATAATAATAGCCTCTGGCGATGTTCCCTCACACCTTCATTACTTCGATAATTTCATTATCTGTGTAAAGCCCACCAGCCCAGGAAATAATATCCTTATAATGTTGCTTGTGAATTTCTAAAATAACGCAAGTATTCTCCTTATTACGTCTCAAATGATCGAGCACCATTTGGGCACGAGTATGAGTACCGGTCAGCTCCACGGTGGCATGATACAAACGGCTACGTGTAATGGCCAGCTGAGGGAAGCAATAGGCCGCCACCAACACAGCATCGCAAACAATCCAGCGGACGAAACCTTTGCTAACCAGTATAGCTTCTTCAACTGCATTCATGAGGCGTATGGCCTTCGAGTCGACTTTGCCCAGGACATTGAGACGCCATTCCTAAGTGTGGGGGGAAACATAAAAAGTGGAATTCATTACTGTTTTCAAAATAGGGCATGTTTGTGTTACACAAATATTTACCATTTCCAAATTCATATCACCATCGATACAGGTCTCCCATGGCAATAAGGATACGGGTTTATCCACCGACTCCAAAACAATGTGTGCCGCCTCAGGATCCATCATAAAATTGAATTCTGCACTTTTTGTTATGTTACCTTTGCCTTAAAACGTTAAAGACAAAAATTTATATTCAGTTGAAAATTTTATTGAAAATTAAAAAAATAGCGATGCAATCTTAATTTAAAAAAAAAATATTTTTTTAAGATAAAAATGTTTTTGCGGCGTAATAGAAATCTAGGCGTCAATTTTTTTTAAGATTTTTTTTTAGGCAAAGTAGATTTTTAGCCCTGGATTTTTTTAGAATTTCAAGGTAAATCTCTAGCTTTGGATTTTTTAACTTTTCCAGACCTAGTAGGCCTCTAGGCATGGGTTTTTAAAATATTCAATATTCAAGGTCTAGTAAATCTCTAGGCTTGGAATTTTTAAAGAATTACTTTCCAGGCCTAGTAGATCTCTAAGCGTGGATTTTTAGGAATACTTTTGAAGGTCTAGTAGATCTATAGGAGAGGATTTTTAAAAAAATTTTCAAGGTCTAATAGATCTCTCCTTTCTAAGACGTAAAGGATTTATTCGGGGGTTTAATTTTTTTAAGGTTTAGTACATTAATAGGCGTGGATTTTTTTAGATTTTTTTCAATGTCTAGACGAGGATTTGTAATGAATTTTTTTAAGGATCTCTAGGCGTGTTTTTTAGGGTTTTTTTCCAAGGATCTCTAGGCGTGGATTTTTTAAGATTTTTTTCAAGGATCTCTATGCGCGTTTTTTAAGATTTTTTTTCAAGGTTCTCTAGGCGGGGATTTTTTAAGAATTTTTTCAAGGATCTCTAGACGTGTTTTTTATGATTTTTTCCAAGCATCTCTAGGCGTGGATTTTTAAAGAACTTTTTTCAAGGATCTCTAGACGTGGATTTTTAAGATTTTTTCAAGGATCTCTGGTCATGGATTTTTTAAGATTTTTTCAAGGAACTCTAAGTGTGGAATTTTAAGAAGTTTTTCAAATATCTTTAGGCGTGTATTTTTAAGAATTTTTTCAAGGATCTCAGTTATGGATTTTTTAAGAATTTTTTTCAAGTTCTAGACGAGGATTTTTTAAGAGTTTTTTTAAAGGATCTCTAGGCGTGGATTTTTTAGTATTTTATTCAAGGATCTCTAGGCATGGATTTTTAAGATTTTTTTCAAAGATCTCTAGACGTGGATTTTTTTTAGATTTTTTTCAAAGATCTCTGGGCATGAATTTTTAAGATTTTTTCAAGGATCTCTAGGCATGGATTTTTAAGATTTTTTCAAGGATCTCTGGACGTGGATTTTTTATAGATTTTTTTCAAGGATCTCTAGGCATGGATTTTTAAGATTTTTTTCAATGATCTCTAGGCGTTGATTTTTAAGAATTGTTTCATGGATCTCTAGGCGTGGATTATTTAAGAATTTTTTTCAAGGATCTCTAAGCGTGGAATACTTAAGATTTTTTTCAGGGATCTCTAGGCGTGGATTCTTAAGTATTTTTTCAAGGTCTAGACGAGGATTTTTTAAGATTTTAAGAATTTTGTCAAGGTCTAGGCATGGATTTTTTAGATTTTTTCAAGGTTTATTAGATTTCTAGGCGTGGATTCTTGAAGAATATTTTTTTAAGAATTCGTTCATGATATTCCGAGAATATTTTAACATTTTCAAAGGCCTTAAGGGACAGTAAACATTTTTAAATATTTTTCAAGTAAACATCCTGGATTTCGGAAACTAGCCGAATACTTTTTAAGGCTTTATAGATAGCGTAATTCTTTTCTTTTTTTTAATATTTTTTTGAGGCCAATGAACATCGTGGATTCATTTAAAAACACATTTTCAAGACACAGTTAACACAGTGGATTTTACAACATATTTCGAATATGAGTTCCGATTTTTTTTAATATTTTCTGAAACCAATGACCCTCTTAGATTTTCAAAAATATTATTTGTTTAAGTAAATGAACCTTGAGGATTTTTTAGGAATATTTTTTAAGTGACAGTAGACCTCGTGCAGTGCAGATTTAAAACTCCAGCTGACCCCGTGGATTTTTGTTATCAAAATGTTTTAATGGACCAGTAGAACTCGTGGATATTCGAAATGACGATTCCTTTTTTAATTTCTTAAAATTATGTTTCCATGATTGTTTTTCTTTCCTAAGGCCGGTTGCTATTACCAACTTACCCCTATAATTGCCTCCCATTATCCAAATATTTCCAACTTTATCCAAAAAATCCGAACCATACATATTAATGCACATGGCAAAATTGGTAAGAGGTCCCACAAGCAGGAAGTCCACCATTTTGGGATACTGAAAACAAAATATATCTTTATAAGCAAGGAAAAATATATATATCTAACTTTTTTACTCACCTGACACACAAACGAATACATCATATTGACGGCATGCTCCTTGTGAGTGTTGGCATTCGAAGCTTCCGGTAAATCGGGTATATCACCAAAACCATCTTGGCCGTGGAACAAACGATCCCTCGTCCAAGTGCGTGGTAAAATGGGATTTGTACAGCCCTTGTAGACGGGTATCTAAAGAGAAATACTTTTAATTTGAAAATCTTTTCATTCAACACATTCTCACTTACATCCAAACGATCGACACTTTCCAATACCCTCAAAGCATTTTTGGCACAATTATCAACAGTGGTATTGCCCTGGACACAAGTTATACCCAATATTTTGTATGGCCTCCGACTGGATATCCCCTCGAATTGTTGACCCGTCAATGAGAGTTTGTGAAACAGCCTTTCGCCTTTGATCAACATCAGCAAACCCCAGGCATCATCGTTGCCAATGTCACAATCATAGACCACATAGCCTCCCGCCGTTGCTGACATAATTCAAGTTGACAGTCTAAGGATTCTAGAAAAATAGATATATAGTCGAGAATATATGTAGAAATAAAAACAGGCTTTTATTACTTTATTTGTGGATTTTTGTAGAAAAAAGTTGTTGTGACAATTTTTGAATTATGTTTTTAACGAATGTTAGACCTATTTTTGTAGGAATGTTTTTTAAATTTTAGGTAAGTTTCCTGAAAGAAGACTAATAGGCCTATATATTTTTTTAGGAATATTTCACCTAGACAATGAGGCCTACCCTCGTGGTTATTTATAGACTTTTTCAGGAAGGACTATCAGGACTAAAATCCTAGCTGTTGAGAATATTTTTTGGAAAAACTATAAGGTTATCATGGATTTGAAATACTACCAGGAATACATTCGTGGACTATTTTTTGAGAGACTATCAAGACCATTTGCTTCTATAGTTCTTAATCTCTATTTTTGAAGGATAATCGGGCATATAATAATAAATTATCAAAAACTGTCAGTTCTACAATCGTGAATTTTTGAATTTGAACATTTCATGAAAGACTAACTATTCTAGATTTGTTTCTACGACAATCATGCATTTTTAATGACGATTTCTTGAAATACCATCCTTGAAATATATTTTTTTAAATATTAGTGGACTTTTTAATAATATTTTTCAAGAACTAATCATTAATTTTTGGAAATATTTCTCAAGGGCGTATCGGGAATTTTTAGGATTATTATTTTAATTAATTTTTAATAATATTTTTTCAAGGACTTTTTATAAATAATTTTCAAATAAAAGATATATGTTTGAAGGACTCGCCGTAGATTTGTTAAATGACTAATTTTTGGAAATAATTTTTAAGGACCAATAGTGGATGAAACATGTTTGTAAGGAATAATCCTGGACTTTATTGAAATATATTTTCAAGGGCTAATCGTGGATTTTTGAGAATTATTGTTTCAAGGACTCTTTAATAATAATATTATTAATTAATAAAAATTCAAAAATACATTTTAGACCCCACAAAGAATATATACAGGGTGAGATAAAAAATAGCTGCAACAAAGTCAAACGCCATAAGTTTTACATTTTTTTTTAAATGTTATTGAATGAAAGTAAAAAATGTCAGAAATAGCATCAAATTTAGAATAAGTTTAGATTTGTTCGAATTGGTCACTTTTCCTCGAATTGTGACCTTCAAACGGCCAATGAAACCGTCACACGCTGCCCGAATATTGCTCTGCGATATTTTGGCCCATTCCCGGCGAAGCGCTTGCTTGAAGTGATCGACACTTAGGTATTTTTTAGATCCAACCTTGCTTTCCAAAATACTCCAAACACAATAGTCAAACGGATTGGTATCCGGAGATTTTGGTGGCCATTGTGCACTGGAAATGAAGCAAGGAACCTCATTTTGTAACCACTCTTGGGTGGCGCGTGCTGAGTCCTGTTGGAATGTCCAAGGTCTGCGGCCAATATAATTGCGTGCCCAAGGCTTTAATACACCCTCCAGAATATTTTCGCGATAATATTGGGCATTTTTTCTGATGCCACGGTCGATTAATATGAGAGGACAGCAACCATCGGCTGTAATGGTGGCCCCCACCATCACCATGGCCGGCGCTTGAGTTCTGGTGGCCAACCGAAGTTGCACATTTTCAGCTGACCTCTTTGGCAAGTAAACGCGAGCATTTTGTTTGTTTACAAACTGCTAGGCAACGAATGTTTTCTCATCGGAGCTGAGAAAACCAAATTCGGCAGCTCACCACTTTCGACCAAGCGAAGTAACTCTTTAGCTCTTTTGAGTCTATTTTTTTCTGTTGCGGTGTAAGTTCTTGCACTCTTTGCAATTTCAATGGCTTTACCCCGAACTCATTTTTCAATATTTGCCGAATGGAATATTGCGATATGTTGAGCTCACGAGCCATTTTTTTGGCCACTGCGACGCGGGTTTCGACCAAGTCGCTTTTTTACTTTTCGAGGTATTTCTGCTGTTTTCGTCCGTTGCTGTTTTCGTCCGTCCACTTCCTTGACGTCGGGCTACGCTACCAGTATCACGGTAACGAGCGATGGTACGAGACACAAAAGATTTATTCACATTTAAATTCTGGAGAGCTCTAACCATAGCCACTTGTGGTTTTCCAGCCAAATATTAAGAAATCACACTATCCCGCTTGCATTCCATCACGAATAAATTTTTTTCTGGAAAATTCTCACCAAAGTGCTTTTGAACGCTTGCAAACAATATAATGAGCTGCCACTGGAATGATTTAACATCTATCGGACGAGTGGCTTAGAAATGACAGCAGTCTGAAGTTGGTTGCAGTTTTTTCATCTCATTCTGTATGTAAGTAGAGGATAATAAAAGGTCTAAAACGAACCAAAATTGTAAGTTTCATTTTCGCTGATAATGTAGCGGGTACTTGCTAGTCGTTATATATTTTAGGAATATTTCTGAAGAACTTTTTAGGGAATTTTTAAAAAAAATATTCTCTGAGGATTTGTTTTTTTGAAATTTTCTAAGAACTAACAAAGATTTTTTTTTATTTTTCACGAAATACCAAAATGAAAAGCAATTAAAGTTATCAAGTTTTTTGAAATATTTTTTATTTTGTCCACATTTCAGGAATAGTTTTTAGATTAGATTTTAGAGAATATATTTTTTTCAACCTTGTTTTTGGAAATATGTATTATTAGAATTTTCAAAGACCGTGTTTAGGAATAATTTTGAATTACTTTCCGTAGAAAGTTGAGATTATTCCACTTTTTTTGTTTAATTTTCTATAAGATTTATAAGAATATTTTGGAAACTAAATGATAAAATATTTGAAATAAATTGTAAAATGTAGTGAACAAATTAAATAATCTCATTTTAAGATTTTACTCAGCTTTGCTTTACAATTAATTTTTTTTAATTCACTTCATGGATTTTTTTCCATATATATGTTAATTATTCATCACTCCCCTTCGCAACACCCTTTTGCTGTGACAAATGTCACATATTAAACTTCACCACATAACAACAAATGCAACCTCAAAAAAGATACTTTGTCACTTCATATTCCCTCTCGCATGCCTCTCTCCATTAGGTTCTCATTATGTTTTTTTCACAATTTTTTATTTGTTTATTTCACTTTCATTTTGATAACTATCTTGGTATATTGTTATTTGATATAATTTCTAAATATTTATGATTTGTTATCACTACCAAACAAGTGCTTTGTTATTTACACTTATCTAAATACAATAAAACTCAAATATGTAAATTGAAAACTAAGAACTGAATACCTTAAAAGTGTAAAATATTTAATGAATGGTCTTCGTTGGGGTACAACACCAAAACTTCTTTCTATCTACACCCGGAGACTGACTAGACGATACTAACTCTTTCGTTTTGCCGGTCACTCTGTATTTGCACACGGTTGGGAGCTGTTGGGTCTTGGGCCTTAGATTGGTGTTTGCATATGGCCCTGTGTGGTTGTTGGTTATTTTCAAAGAGAATGATGGTGTCCATTCTCTCGTTCTCTTTAGTATTGCAATTTTACTCTGCAAATATTAACCCCAATGCAAATGTCTGTTAAATGAGTGGGTATTTTTTCGAAGAGGACTTTCCAAACAGAAAACAAAGGCTATTGATATTTAAATATTAGAAAAAGAAGTATTTTGAAAAATGTGATTTAAAATGTAAAATAAATTGTAGAACAAAATTATTAGTTTGGTGGAATGAAGTGAAGAAAAAACCAGTAAAGAAAGATCTAAAGTCCGGCGGGGCCGACTTTATGATACCCTACACCACTTTGCTAATTTAGTAGAGCTCCGCATAACAATTAAAAGTTTTTATGGGAGAATTCAATCATACACGCTATCATTATAATTGTAATTTAAAGTTCAAAGGACTAAATATGCCGAAGCATATGTATCTTTTAAATTCGGACTTGTATTGCCCATATGGTGCAAAATTATTTGAAATCATATAAAGATATATATGGGAGCTATATCCAAATCTGAACCGATCTCAATAAAATTTGGCAAAGATATTTCTTAGCTGTATTTTATTATGGCTGTAGGTAACAAATACAACTAATCGGATGAACAATATATATGGAAGCTATAGCTATATCTAAACCGATCTTCACCAAATTTGGCATACTAGCTTCTAGACGCAATTTAGTCGTATGTGTCAAATTCCATCCTATTTGGACAAATATTAGACGTTTGGTGCACAATAAAAGGTAAATCGGACGAAGTTATATATGGGAGCTATATCCAAATCCGAACCGATTTCGATAAAATTTAGCAAACGTATTTCTGAGCTGTATTTGATAAATTTCCCTGAATATCGTTGTTACGGAGTGCATATTATGGCTGTAGGTAACAAATACAACAAATCGGATGAACAATATATATGGAAGCTATAGCTATATCTAAACCGATCTTCGCCAAATTTGGCATACTAGTTTCTAGACTCAATTCGGTCGTATGTGTCAAATTCCATCCTATTTGGGCAAATATTAGACGTTTGGTGCACAATAAAAGGTAAATCGGACGAAGTTATATATGGGAGCTATATCCAAATCTGAACCGATCTCGGTAAAATTTAGCAAAGGTATTTCTGAGCTGTATTTGATTTATTTCCCCAAATATTGTTGTTACAGAGCGCATATTACGGCTGCGGAGGACAAAAATAAAAAAATCCGGTGAAGAATATATATGGGAGCTATAGCTATATCTGAACCGATTTCGATCAAATTTGGCATACTTATTTTCAGTCCTAATTTGGTTCTATGTGCAAAATTCCATACAATTCGGGCTGATATTACACGTTTGGTGCACAATAAAAGGCAATTCGGACGAAGGTATATATGGGAGCTATATCTAAATTTTGAACGATTATTTCCAATTTCAATAGGGTTCGTCCTTGGGCCAAACAAATGATTTGTGCAAAATTTCATCTGGATAGGGCAATAAATGCGAACTGTACTTTGTTTACAAAAATACATGGACAGACGGACGGACATGCATAAATCGACTCAGAATGTGATTCTATGCAGATCATCAAAAGGAACTATGGGTCTATCTCGTTTCCTTTTGCCAGTTACAAACAAATGCACAAAGACATAATACCCTGACCACCTTGTGGTGTAGGGTATAAATAGACTCAAAAGAGCTACGTTGCTTGGCCGAAAGACGTGAACTGCCGAATTTGGTTTTCGCCGATGAGAAATCATTCGTTGTCCAGCAGTTTGCAAGTTTCGTGTTTACTTGCCAAAGAGGTCAGCTGACAATGTTCACCTTCGGTTGGCCACCAGGTCGCTCTCCGCTCGTATTAATCGACCGTGACATCAGAATAAATGCCGAATATTATCGCGAAAATTTTCTGGAGGGTGTATTAAAGCCTTGGGCACGCAAACATTTTGGCCGCATATCTTGGACATTCCAACAGGCCTCAGCACCATCGCACGCACTCAGCACGCTCCACCCACGCTTCATTTCCAGCGCACAATGGCCACCAAAATCTCCGGATACCAATCCGTTGGACTATTGTGTCTGGAGTATTTTGGAAAGCAAGGTTGGCACCAAAGTGTCAATCACCTCAAGCAAGTGCTTCCCTTGCGGAATGAGCCAAAATACTGCAAAGCAACATTCAAGCAGCGTGTGACGGTTTCATTGGCCGTTTGAAGGTCATAATTCGTGCCAAAGGTGAACAATTCGGAACAATCTAAACTTATTCTAAGAGTTGATGCTCTTTCCGACATTTTTGGCTTTCATTCAATAAAATTTGAAAAAAAAAAGTGTAAAAATTATTACCTTTGACTTTGTTGCAATTTTTTTATCTCACCCTGTAATGTCGGTTTTTTTTTGGGAACTTTGATGTTAATATTTTGTTGATATCCAGTGGAAATCCAGATTTCATTTCTTTGGTGACCTATAGTAAAATTTGATGAAGAATAATTTTGTCTTTGACATCATACTTCTAAAATGATGCTTTGTTGGAGATTTTAGCGCAAAGTCACACAAAGCACGGCTTTAACCCTAAAATGTGTTTTTAATATATGTATGTGAATTCCTGGTGTTTAGGTAAGACTTAGACTTTAGATGTATTCTAGGACCTATAGTAAAATTTTATGATAAATAATTTTGTAGAGTATTTTGACTTGCTGCGATCCCGTTTAAAGCGAGTTTTTAGCCATGTTTCTTAAAAAGGCCCAAAAAGACCCTTATGTCGCCTCGCTTGAGGGTTAATATTTTTAACCAAAATATTCCTCGTATTTTTATCCGAAATATTGCCGCAGACACTATATAGCTTAAATCCATGGATTCCGAGAAATCTTAGATTCCGAAAATTTCCAAAACTGTGGAAGAGGGAGGAACTTGCCCCTCTAATTAGGTTACTTTGCGCTGTAAACTTTCAAAACGCCGATACACGTGTCTTCTTTTTTTAGCTCTATTTTCATAATCTGCTAAATTTTCCCTGTAATTATTGAAAATTTCTACGGATACTAGTTGAAGTGTGGATTATGTATGACTTAATTTTGAAAAATATAACAGACGAGGTGATATTATCCTTCCATTTATATCCTTTTTAATTAAACTAAATTAGTGCGCTATTTTTGGAATCTTAAAACGTTTTCACCTCTAGTCTAGCCCTAAGTAATAGTTGCAAATATGATATTCACTTTATTGACACAATAACTTTTCCATATCTTCATCATCCAGTAGACCTCCAGTCCAGGCAATAATTTGTCGATAATTATCCTTGTGTACGGACATAATTATTCGTGTATTTCCTTCATCCTTTCTCTTATGGTCAAGGACCATTTGACCACGGGTATGATGGCCCATCAACTCCACTGTGCTATGATATAAACGACTTTTAGCGATTACAATATCGGGAAATAAAAAGGTTGCCACCAGGACTGCATCACAAATTATCCATTTCGCATAAGCCAAGGGACGAAGGAAGGCATTCTCCACAATGTTCATAAGATGCATGATTTTTGAATCCACTTTCGAGAGGATCTCAAAACGCCAACTCTAAAATCAGACAAAAAATTGATTCATTTTTATTTTCAAGGTGGAAGTGGGATTGCTTCCATTACCGCATCAAAATTCATTTCACCATCGATGCAGGTTTCCCATGGCACCACCATCATGGGCTTGCTAACGCTTTCCAACACAATATGAGCCGCCTCTGGGTCCAAACGAAAATTGAATTCAGCACTTTTGGTTACGTTGCCTTTGCCTGGGTCAAAGTTCCAAAATTTCAAATTAAAGGTTGAAATTAAAAAGTTTAAAAATTGAAGTCTCACCTCTGTAATTTCCACCCATTATGTAGATATCCCGAACTTTATCCAAAAACTCCCTGCCATACATATTAATGCACACTGCAAAATTTGTAAGGGGTCCAATCAAAATGAAGTCGATCTGGTTTGGATGCTGAGAGAAAAAAATGAATATTTGAATTCTCGATCTTGGTTTCAAATATCAGATTCAGATTTTACCCTACAAACACTGGAATACATCATATTTACAGCATGTTCGGCTTGAGCCTCCACCTTTGTTACTTGAGGTAAATTTGGCACATCTCCAAATCCATCCTGGCCATGAAAATGTTTGTGTTCGAAATTGGGTGGTATTATGGCATTTTCACAACCCCTATAGACAGGTATCTGAAAACAGGAAACAATTAGGGTTTTCCGAAATTTTTTTCGAACCTCAACCTATGACCTTGGAATGGTTAAGGGAGAGGTTGATTCAAGTCAGATAGACGAATCGTTTCTAAATTCTGGGGAGAATATCCCAGACAAAAAACAAGGGAACTGATGAAGATTGGTGGCTCTTTCCGAAACCTAGGTATTCCCTGCCTTACCCCCTGGTAAACATTACCATCGTTCTCCACTAATAAACAAACGTTGTTTTTATAAAAACAATAATAAAGGGTTTAAGCCTGACCATTTTTCAACAACAAAATACTATGGTATCGCGAACAAACAACCCAACACTGTTCTATTCATAAAACAATTTTCTCCATTCAGACATGCTGTCTCAGCCTCTTTTTAATATACCCTCCTTACAAGGTGGAGGTTAAAAAAAATATCGAGCCCCAGCACTGATTCCACATTTTTATACCCTCAGCCATATGGCCAAATAGGGTACATATCAACTTGCCTCATCGAAATAACGATTTTAGACCCTAGGTCTCTTTGGACCAAATCCGTTTCAGAGCATTTGGAGTCGATATAGCGATGATATATCGTAATATTATAAACAAACTTAGATTGAGTTCGGAGATGGGCAATATCGGTCCAATCCTTCTGCTACCTCTCCAAAAAAATATCGACATTTTCAAAAAAAAAAAAATATTTTACTGCACAAAAAGAGAGAGGTCGATGCGATTTTGCTCCAACTTTGCAAATCCTAATATTTTCATCAGTGCTAAGTCAGGTGCGAAAATATACAATATCGGTTCACCCCTCAAGTACCTCCCCCAAAAAGGGTCAAAATTTTAAATAATTATAACTCTTATAAAATGTGATGTAAGAGTCAGATTCTCTTCAAATTACACACATCACGATATTTTTATAAAGCCAAGATCTGGTGAGAAGATGGGAAGTATTAGTCCACTCCTTCTGGTACCTCCCCCCACAACGGGTCAAAATTTTGAATATCAAAGAAGCTCATATAGTGCGAAATCAACATCTGATTCCGTTCACGTTTGGTGCATCTCAATATTTCCATAACCACAAGATCTGTTATAAATATGGTAAAGATCATACCATTATTTCTGGTACCTCCCCCCACAACGGGTCAAAATTTTGAATAACCATGAAGCTCACAAAACGCGAAATCAACATCCGATTCCATTCAGACTTGGCACATCTAAATATTTCCAAAACCACAAGATCTGTTATAAATATGGTAGATATCGGACCATTGGTTCTGGTACCTCCCCCACCAAAGGGTCAAAGTTTTTAATAACCAAAACGATCATAAAATCTAAAATAAGCATGCAATTCTCTTCATATTTCACACATCCCCTTATTTCTACTAACACAAGATAAGCTGTGAAGATGACATATATAAGTCCACTCCTTCTGATACCTCCCCCACAAAGGGTCAATGAAACGCGAAATCAACATCCGATTCCATTCAGACTTGGCATATCTCAATATTTCCATAAGTACAAGATCAATTATAAATATGGTAGAGATCGGGCCGTTCCTTCTGGTACCTCCCTCACAAAGGGTCAAAGTTTTGAATAACCAAAACGATCAAAAAATCCGAAATAAGTATCCAGTCTTTTCACATTACACACATCCCATTATTTCTATTAATGTGAGATCTGGTGTGAAGATGACATATATCGATCCAGTTCCTCTGGTACTTCCCCGATAAAGGGTCAAAATATTGAATATCCCCGAAGCTCATAAAACACGAAATTAACATCCGATTCCATTCAGACTTGGCACATCTCAATATTTCCATAAACACAAGATCAATTATAAAGATGGTAGAGATCGGACCAATCCTTCTAGTACCTCCCCCACAAAGGGTCAATATTTTGAATAACTAAAACGATTATAAAATCCGAAATAAGCATTCGGTTCTTTTCAAAATTCACACATCCCAATATTTATATGAATATCAGATCTGCTTCGAAGATGGGAAATACCGGTCCACTCCTTCTGGTACCTCCCCCACAACGGGTCTAAATTTTGAATATCCAATGAATTTTGAAATCAACATCCGATTCCATTCAGACTCGACACATCTCAATATTTTCACAAACACAAGATCTGTTATAAATATTGTAGGGATTGGACCATTTCTTCTGAAAACTCTCAAAGAAAGCAAGATAAGCATCCAACTCTCTTGAAATTTCACACATACAAACATCTTTGCTAACAAAAGATCTCTAAAGGTGATATGTATCTCCCAACCTCTTCTGGTAACTCACTCACAAAGGGTCACAATTTCAAATACTTATATCTGTCATAATTTGGTTGAGGGTATAGAAATATGTGAAAAATCCTCCATTTACTTACATCCAATCGGTCCATAGCATCCAAAACACGCAAGGCATTCCTGACACCATTATCGACATCGGTATTTCCTCGAACACAAGTAACACCAAGTATCTTAAATGGGTCACGGACCCCACTTATTTTCCTCTTATTGTGTGCCAGTTTTTGTAAAAATCTCTCTGCTTTGATTAGCATAACCAAGGCCCAGGCATCATCGTTGCCAATATCACAATCGAAAATCACATAATTATTTGTCATTTTTTTCGGACTCTCACTTCGGATTTTTCATTCAACACCAACCAAACGACAACCAACAACTGTAGAATCTAACTATTCCATCTAATTTTCTAACTACATCTAGCTGCTGGTAGGCTGGAGGCTTGACTGATTAAAAACTGTTGACTGTTTAAAAAAAAATTAAATATAGTATGCAATGGCAAGAGATAATGGTGTTTTATTATGTTTATTCTAATGATCATAACAGTAATTATTATGAAGTATAAAAGGCTGAGCGTTATCTTCAAATACAGTGTCGGGCAAAATTATGAGAGCAAAATATATGTAAACAAGTTAAAAATTATCAGACGGTTTTGCCGACAGATGTATACCCTCAGCCAATGTTCGATTATTTTAATATATTTTTACTTCTGCTATGATTATTCAAATTGTTGACCCTCCATGGAGTAAGTTTCGAAGGAATGAGCCAATATTGTCAATTTCGTATCGGAGCAAAATAAATAAGATATAAATATTGCGACGTGCCAGGTTTGGACTATATGGGTTACATCCTTCACTTTATACGTGATATGTTATAATTTTTAGAAAATCGGACATTTATATCCAATTTTATGCGAAACCATAAATCCCGTATTCATTTTAGGTCCCTGGTTGAGAGAAATATTTAGACCTAGCAAATAAAGTAAAGAATCGCCGACTTGTTTCGCAAGTTGTGACGGATTAAATTATTGAAAATGGTCACCCTTTGTAGGTGAGGTACCAGAAGGGGTTTGCAGATATATATAATCTTCACAACAGATCTTGTGTTAGTAGAAATAATGGGATGTGTGCATTACGAAAAGGACCGGATGTTTATTTCGGTATAATAAATTTGGGTTATTCAAAATTTTGACCCTTTGTGGGGGAGGTACCAGAAGGAATGGTTCGATGTCTACCATCCTTATAACAGATCTTGTGTTCATGGAAATATTGAGATGTACCATGTCTGGTATGGAATCGGATCATAATTTCGAGTTTTATGAGCTTCATAGATATTCAAAATTGTAATCCTTTGTGGGGGAAGTACCAGAAGGAGTTGACCGATATATACCACCTTCACAGCAGATCTTGTGTTATTAGAAACAATGGGATGTGTGTAATATGAAGAGAACCGGATGCTTTTTTCGGATTTTATTTTCGTTTTTGTTTTCCAAAACGTTGACCCTTTGTGGGGGAGGTACTAGCAGGAATGGTCCGATCTCTACCATCTTTATAACAGATCTTGTGTTGACAGAAATATTGAGATGTGTCAATGCAATGGTATCGGATGTTATTTTCTCGTTTAATTAGCTTTATGGATATTCAAAATTTTGACCCTTTGTGGAGGAGGTACCAAAAGGAGTGGATCGATATATCCCAATTTCACACCAGACATTAGCATAATCAAAATATTGTGATGTGTGTAATTTGAAGAGAACCGGATGCTTATTTCTGTATTTATGATCGTTTTGGGTTATTCAAAATTTTGACCCTTTGTGGGGGAGGTATCAGTAGGAATGGTCCGATCTCTATATAACAGATCTTGTGTTGACATAAATATTGAGATGGAATGGAATCGGATGTTAATTTCGCGTTTTATGAGCTCCATGGATGTTCAAAATTTTAACCCCTTGTAGGGGGGGGGGTACCAGAAGGAGTGGACCTATATATTCCATCTCAACGCCAGATTTAGAGTTTATAAAAATATTAGGATGTGTGAAATTTGAAGACAATCGGATTCTTACATCACATTTTATAAGAGTTGTAATTATTCAAAATTTTGACCCTTTGTGGGGAAGGTACATGATGGAGTGGACCTATATTGTCCATTTTCGCACCTGACCTAGAACTGACGCAAATATTAGGATTTGCAAAGTATGAGCAAAATCGGATTATCGTTTCTCTTTCTGTGCAATATTTTTTTTTTGAAAATATTGACATTTTGTGTGGGAGGTACCAGAAGGAATAGCCCGATATTGAACATCTCCGAACTCGATCTGAGTTTGACAATAATATTACGATGTATCAAGTTTGGCTCAAATCGGATACTCCCTTCGAGAGTTTCGTGCGCACCAGCCAGCCAGACAGACAGACGGAGGGACGGACATCGCTATATCGACTTCAAATGTCCTAAAACGGATTTCGTCCAAGGAGACCTAGGATCTAAAACCGTTATTTCGATGAGATTTTGGCCGTATCAAATGATATAAACCCTCTCTAGCCATATGGCTGAGGGTATAAAAACGATTTTTGGAACTATCCAAATTAAAACTTTTTTCCAAAAAAAAAAAACACTTTTTTCTTTTATCACTTCACGTTTTATTAATTTGTCTTAAGAAGACACATCTCAATGACGTTTTTATTTAGAGCCATTGGATGAAGGCAATTTTCTTTCCTTCATTTTTAACACCGCCTTTTTTGTAAAATCGTTAAATTACTTTTTTTTATAAAGCAAACCTGTGGAACCTTATACGAACCTTTCTTGCTACATTAGTGTTAAATTCATTGAAAACCCTCTTAACAATGTAAGAGAAACACAAATGTAACGCTCTCCCCACTCTCTTTGTCACACTCACTTTCTCTCTCTTAAAATTCCACAAACCCACATGCCAATTTCAGGCACTTCTTTTGTAAAACAAAATACCCAGACATCATTTCTCAAATTTGCCGGCACAAAATAAAACATACCCACACACACACTCAGCCTTACACACCTATCACAGATATGGCTGTCTCCGCAAAACACAAAAAGCAAATAGCAACAACATTCGGTTTGATGCTGTTTTTTTTTAAATCCCTTGCTTGCTCTCTTGTATCTCCTTTAGTTTTTGTTTAGCCATTCGCCACGTTTTGTTTTGAATCTTGCTGTTCTGTCTGCCTGTCTTCTCCACAGCGGCAGCTGATTTGTTGCGCGCCGTTGGACAGTAAACAAAAGAAACTGCGAAAGGAGGAAGAGAAATTAAATTTAGTTGTCGTTCTTCTCTGTCCAGTTGATGTTGTCGTCGTTGTCTTCTTCGTTTGCGGTGAATAAACTTTTGTGTGTTTTGAATAGAAAATTTAATTCAAGCCATTTGTTTTTTTTTTTATTTGATAATCGTTTCTGTTGTGGGAGTGACATGTGAATGCAGCTGAATTTGGAAGAAACGCAAATCAAGAGATTAGAAAAACGAATTGTGTTCCAAAATCTATTGAATCTGAGAGAAATATGCTCTAGTTATTTTTCGAATACCTAACTACCTACTATATTCCTGTGTATTATTTATTGTTTGTGCCGAAATCTTTTATTTACCAAATTTTAGTGGAATTTTTTTCTGTCGTTCTGAGAAAACTAAACTGAAGGACTGACGGTGAGTCTGTTGTAATTTTTGATATCAATATTTACGCTCTATTCGTTTATCAGCTATGGAATCATATTGCCGGTATATAATACAACAAACATCCATATATTTTGTCGTCAGAATTCTGTTAGGGATTGCAGTTCGTAATGTTTATACTCTCTACGGTATTTATGGGGGGAAGTTTGATGTAACTCCAAATTACCCTTATGATATCCAAGAATCCCATCAAATAAATGTAATGGAAAATAATACCAGTACTGTTTTCGAAAACTTAAAATCTGTAAAAAACACATTTAATCCTGGTCCAGACGGCATTCCTTCAAATATTCTTAAACATTACGCGAATTGCCTCGCTTTTTCAATTGCACTTCTTTTTAACAAGTAAAAGAGTATCAGTTTTGCCGAGAGATGTATACCCCAGCCCTGAGTTATGATTATTCAAACTGTTGACCCTTTATGGGGAAGGTTCCGAAGCAGTTGGCCAATATTGACCAATTCATATCTGACCCAAGACTGATATAAATATTACAATGTGACAGATTTGGACTATATTGACTACTTGTTATACTTTATATGAGATATGTGGAATTTTTTGGAAAATGCGGAAATATGCGCCAGGTAACATATATACCGCATGTAACACAGATACAAATACGTGCAAAATTTGAAGGAATTCGAAAAGTTACATCCAATTATATACGAAATCATAAATTTCGATAAAGTACATATTCATATCCGATATCTGGTTAAGAGAAATATTTAGATATAGCAAGTTGTAAAGAATCGCCGACTTGTTTCTCAAGATATGACAGATGTAAGTATTGAAAATTGTGACCCTTTGTGGCTGAGGTACCAGAAGAGGTTAGCAGCTTCTCAACAGATCTTGCATTAACAAAAATATTTGGATGTGTAAAATTTGAAGAGAGTTGGATGCTTATGTCGCTTTCTTTGAGCGTTTTGTTTTGCAAAACCTTGAACCCTATATGTCAGAAGAAATGGTCCGATTTCTGCCATCTTTATAACAGAGCTTGTGTTGCTGAGAGTTGAGATGTACCAAGTCCGAATAGAATCGGACGTTAATTTCGCTATATTCAAAATTTTGACCCTTTTTTTGTTACTAGAAGAAGTGGACCGTTACATTCTCTCTTCACACCAGACCTTGGGTTAATAAAAATATTGTGATGTGTTTAATTTGAAGAGAACCGTATGAATATTTTGGATTTTATGATCGTTTTGGTTATTCAAAACATTAACCCATTGTGGGGGAGGTACCAGCAGGAATAGTCCGACCTCTACCATGTTTACCAAGAGCAATGATCCGATCATTACCATATTTATAACATATCTTGTGTTCGTGGAAATATTGAGATGTCCCAAGTCTGAATGGAGTCGGATGTTAATTTTGATTTATACAGTTTCATGGATATTCAAAATTTTGACCCTTTGTGGGTGGGTTACCAGAAGGAATGGACCGATATATTCTCTCTTCATACCACACCTTGGGTTAATAAAAATATTGTGATGTGTTTAATTTGAAGAGAAACGGATTCTTATTTCGGATTTTATGATCGCTTTTGTTATTTAAAACTTTGACCTGTTGTAGCGGGTATCAGAAGGTCCGATCTCTACAATCTTTACCAGAAGAAATGGTCCGATCGTTACCATCTTTATAACAGATCTTGTGTTGATGGCAATATTGAGATTTCTCAAGTCTAAATGGAATCGGATGTTAACTTCGTGTTATAGAGCTTCATGGATATTCAAAATGTTGACTCTTTGTGGGGGAGGTTCCACAAGGAGTGGACCGATATATCCCATTTTCACACCAGACTTTGGGTTACTAAAAATATTGTGATGTGTGTAATTTGAAGACAATCGGAATCCTACGCCACATTTCATAAGAGTTATAATTATTCAAAATCTTGACCCTTTGTGGGGAAGGTACTTAATGGATTGGGCCGCTACTCTCCATTTTCGCATCTGCCCTAGCACTGATAGAAATATTAATATTTGCAAAGTTGGAGCAAAATCGAAATATCCTTTCTCTGCAGTAAATTATTTTCTTTGAAAATTTTGATATTTTTTGGGGGAGGTACCCGAAGGAGTGGACCGATATTGTCCATCTCTTAACTCGATCTTTGTTTGACAATAATAATACGGTGTACCAAGTTTGGATCAAATCGGGTACTCCCTTAGATAGTTATCGAGCGCAGACAGGTAGACAGGTAGCCAGAAAGACAGAAGGACGGACATCGCTCCAAATATCCTGAAACGGATTTGGTCCAAAGAACCTATGGTCTAAAACCGTTATTTCGACTAGGTACGTTTTGACCGTATCAAATGATATCTCAAGCCACATGTCTGAGGGTACAAAAATTACGTTCTAGTAGGGACACCATTTATTTCGATTCGATCCTGATCGCTATTGTGTGACAGCACCCAACAGATTTTTGATTAAAAGTAAAAAAGCCGGAGTGAACTTTAAATACCCTCCATCATTTGGAGCGAATTGGGCAAATTTTCAAAAAATAAATAAAATCCGTTACAAATTCTGTCAAAACCTTAAAAATACCGAATGTAGCCCTTATATTACGGACTATACGACGACGTGGACCTGCATAGGCAACTTTTGTCATAAGCCATTAAAATATTCAAATGCGAAACTTAAAACAAATCGGTGAATAATGTCGCTAAAATCAGAAAGTACGAAATATCGGGAGGTGCGGTTAAATGTACAAAGGTATAGCCCCCGTGAACCTGCACGGACAATTTTCTATCATAAGTTGTTGTATCCATTACGAACTTCAAATACCAAATTTGAAACATTTCCAGTGAATAATGTCGCTTAAATCACCGAAGTACCGAAAATAGGGAGATACCAAAACGTGAACCTACATGGCCAATTTCAATACCAAAAGTCCTGCAGACATAATATACATTTGAGTAAAATTGTATCAACCTACTACATTTCGTTCGGAAGCTATAGTGATTTCCACAGATGGATAGACGAACAGACAGGCGGACATCGCTAAATCGACGTAGAAGTTTATGCTGATCAAATATATATATATATACTTTGTGGGGTCTTAAATGTATTTTTCGAACGGAATGACAAACTTAAATTCCTTAAATAAGAAGAGATGTAGGGATTGTATACTCAAACTTTTTATTTGATATTTAAATCTCAAATACTTTAAGATTTAAATGTCAAATAAAAATTCTGAGTATGCAATCTCTGCATCTCTTCTTATTTTGGCTTATCAAATAAAATAAAAAAAAACAAACAAATTTCACAAATATTCTCAAAGGTGTTAACTTTTATTGCCACATTTAAGTCATTGACATTCTACATTTGGAGTTATCTGCTAAATTTGATTTTATAATATTAGCTAACACATGTTGAAGATAGGTTAATTGCCGATGGGTGATATGGTCTGGAGGAATATCTTGGCACTACTAAAAAATATTTTGGAGCGGAGAGACATTTTTTCTAAAAATCCAATTTTGAAAATTTAAATAACATGTCTCTTTGCGATGCTTACTCATAGTCGATACAGGAAACGGAAAATATTGCAAGAAATTGCAGTACGTCACTCATATTTTGAAAATTGTCATGCATCTTCAGAGGAAGTTGGATTTCCTATTATTCTTATTACGTGATAATGTTTGGAATTCAAGGGTATATCATTTGTCAAGTTCGAGCCCACACACACACATTTACTTGGCTTTGTACATTAATTTATTTATTTACGCGGCTAGATTTGTTTAATATAAATAAACGGGAGCATTATTGTAAGCCAGAGAAATCTACAGTCGGTTGAAGACGAGAGTCCACACATTTCATTTATTAGAAGCAAAATCAAGATTTTCGGAAAAATTTGATTTAACTTTGTATTTTGACCAGGAGATTTTGGAAAGTTATATTTTTAAAATTTGTGCAGAAAGGAAGACATTTATGTTAATCGAATTCTTGTATTAAAAGGGAAAAATCAATTTTCATAAAATTTAAATTTTGTAAAATTAATTTAAAATTATATCTTTAGACAAATTCAACAGAATCGAATTATTTCAGTTGAAATTCGAGAATTCCAATTATAATTCGAATTACCATTGTACCATTGTAAATCGAATTATTCCATATAAAAATCGAAGAAAAAATTGATATAATTTGATTTGGAATAATTGGAATAATTCGAATTACAAATGTAATCTTACGAATTACGGGGATTACCTAGCAGATTATGAAAGTCGAGCTAAAAACGAAGACACTTTTATCGGCATTTTGAAAGTTTACATCGTAAAGTAACCAAAATAGAGGTGGTCAGAGAGAGTCCCAACATTTCCACACTTTTGGGCATTTTAAAATGAAGATTCCTCGGAAATCGTGAGTTTTAGGTGTAGAGTGTCTTCGGCAATATTGCAGATAAAAATATGAAGAATGTTGTGGTTTTAATTTTAACCCTCAAACGAGTCAAGAAAGGGGTCTTTTTGGTCCATTTTTTTAAATATGGTTAAAAACTCTCTTTAAACGGGATTGTAGCAAGACAAAATATTCTACAAAATTATTTTTAAAAAAGTTCTACTAAAGGTCCTAGAAAAATGTAGAAGTCAACAAGAAATGTAGATTAAAAAATAGGATTAAAACCGTACCTGTTGTGAGTGTGTCCAAAAATCTCCCATAAAGCATCATTTAAGAAGGATGACGTCAAAGGAAAAAAATACTATTCATCAAATTTTACTATAAGTTACCAAAGAAAATAAATCTCTATATCTCTACCTTTTCCCAATCCGCTGCAAATTTTCACGGGGTTGTGGAAAATGCCAAACAGGCTCAATAGTACTCGCTTTTATATCAAAAACCCAAAGGAGTTCTGGGTTCTTAGGCCAAATATTGTTAGAGTCAAGTAAAAAAGCTGTAAGTTCCTCCGGGACGAACTTAGAATACGCTCAACCAAAAATTCTGTTAAAATCTTAAAAATACCGAATTTAGCCGTTATATTAGGGTCTATACAACGACGTGGACCTGTGAAGAAAACTTTTGTCATATATACGAAGCCATGGACCTGCATGGACAATTTTCTGTCATAGACTGTAGTATCCATAACGAACTTCAAATACCAAATTTGAAATAATTCCGATGAATAATGTCCCTAAAATCATCAAAATACCGAGTATCGGGAGGTACCCTTATATGGGGGCTATATGAAGACGTGGACCTGCACAGACAATTTTCTGTCATAAGCTGTAGTATCCATTACCAACTTCAAATACCAAATTTCAAATAATTCCGGTTAATAAAGTCGCTAAAATCATCAAAATACCGGTGGAAATGTGTGGTAAAAATGATCAAAATACCGAATATCGGGAGGTACCGTTATATGGGTGCTATACGGTAACGTGGACCTACACAGACAATTTTCTGTCATGGGCTGTAGTATCCATTAGGAATTTCAAATTCCAAATTTGAAACATTTCCGGTGAATTATGTCGCTTAAATCACTAAAATAGCGAATATCGGGAGGAACCGTTATATGAACGCTATACCAAAACGTAGACCTACATGTCCCATTTTCAATACCAAAAGTCCTGCAGACATAATATACATTTGAGTAAAATTTTATCAACCTACTTTCTTTCGTTCGGAATTTAGAGTGATTTCCACCGACGAACGGACACCGCTAAATCGACATAGAATTTTATGCTGATCAAAAATATATATAAATGTATATTTCGAGGTGTTACAAACGGTATGACAAACTTTATATACCCTCCATACTATGGTGGAGGGGAAAAAATGGACTTCTAAAACATATTTCGCAATATATAGATTCGTAATTTGATAGAAATTTTTTAATTAAATTAAAAATTATTGAAATAGAAAATCGGTCCACTTTTTGATATAGTCCCCTTGTATGGATAACTCAAGTAGTTTTTTAGTTTAAGATTTAGCCATGTTATCCATTTAATTTTGCCAAATTCGGCATTTCGTGTTCTCATTAAGTGGAAACGCGGTTTAAAACAACAGATATGACAAATTCGATGGGTCGACAATTTTGTCGGTATCTAAAGGCCTTTTTCAGTGTGACGATACAAAAGCAAATTTCTGAATTTTTCAATTAGACTAACAATATTTGTATTTGTTATATTTTTATTTATTTATACTTTTATTTAGTTTGACATCCTGAATATGTTTCAGACAGTTTCTAATAATCCCTCCATTCTCTATTTTCAGATTTAAAATTCAGAGTAGTCACACAACAGCTAAATAATCCATGACAACATATCTACCTACCTGTAAACTATATTGAGAGCAAATTTAAACACCTACCAACGCACATTTCGAATCCCAAAATTCCAACCAATTTGACAGAAAATCAAATAATCCCGAAGAGCATTTACGACGAAGAAAATCCTTTAAATCATGACAACAAACTATGTGATATTTGACTGTGATGGTGGCAGTGATGATGCCTGGGCATTATTGTTGCTGCTAAAAGCGGAAGCCGAAAAACAGTTGATCCTTCTTGGTATCACAATATGTGGTAGTGGAAATACTACGCTGCACAATGCCGCCTACAATATGCTAAGGATACTGAAGGCCTGTGGCCGAGATGAGGTAGGTGAAAATAGCAACAAGGATTTCAAGCACCTACACAGGTACAGGTAGTTGACGTGTGTTGTCCGGGATTTAAGGATCGTGTTTTTAGTTCAGAATTTTTAACAAAGGCAAATAAACTCTCAAATCTTTAAATAGTGAATGTAGCAACATGTCGTCTTTAATTGTCAAAGTTTGAACATTCATAGGGCAAAGAATATGGCGCCCAATCGTAGATCATTTTGTAGAAAGAGATAATTTTTACAACCAATTACTTCGAGAATAACTATGGCCAGATTTCGATTTTTTACGCTCCACCATAAAATGCAAGGTTCAAGATAAGGTATAGCCACCATATAGCCAGCACCTCCTGATTTTCGGTATTTTGAATGTTTCGGCGCCAATTCGAACCAGCTGTAAATGGACATTTTGGATTGTCAGTGGATAGTTGAAGCCCTAAAAATATCCAATGCAAAGATTTTAACGAATGTTGATTTGACAATAAGTTTTCCTTCGTAGGAGGTATACAAAGTTCGTCCAAGCCGAGTTTAACGTTGTTATACCCTCGACAACAGTATGGAGGGTATATTAAGTTTATCATTCCGTTTGTAACACCTCGAAATATACATTTTAGACCCCAAAAGTAAATATATTCTTGATCAGCATAAAATTCTATGCCGATTTAGCGATGTCCGTTCGTCTGTCCGCCTATCCGTCTGTGGAAACCACTCTAGCTTCCGAACGAAATAAAGTAGGTTGATAAAATTTTACTCAAATATTATTATTTCTGAAGGACTTTTGGTATTGAAAATGGGCCATGTAGGTCGACGTTTTGGTATAGCTCCGATAAAATGGTATCTCCCTATTTTCGGTATTTTGGTGATTTAAGCTACATTCTTCACCTGAATTGTTTCAAATTTGGTATTTGATGTTTGTATTGGATACTATAGCCTATGATAGTAAATTTTCTTAATCGTAATCGAATAGCCCCCATATAGCGGTACCTCCCGATGGTTGGTATTTTGTTGATTTTAGCGAAAATATTCACCGGAATTGTTTCAAATTTAGTATTTGAAGTTCGTAATGGATACTACAGCCTAAGACAGAAAATTGTTTGTGCAGGTCCACGTCTTCGTATAACCCCCATATAATGGTACCTCCCGATGTTCGGTATTTTGATGATTTTAGTAACATTATTCACTGGAATTGTTTCAAATTTGGTATTTGAAGTTGGTAATGGATACTACAGCCTATGACAGAAAATTGTCTGTGCAGATCCACGTTTTGGTATAGCCCCATACGATAGTAACTCCTTATATTCGGTATTTTTATGATACAAGTCCAGGTGGTCGTATAGACCCCTAATATAACGGTTACATTCGTCATTTGAAAAAAAAAATTGAAAATTGCCAAATTCGTTCCAAGTGGTGGAGGGCCGAACTTATAGCTTTTTTACTTGTTACTGATTATTTTGAAACCATAGGATAGTTTTAAAGGAAAATCTGGTAAAAAATCACGGAAGTTTGGGAAAAAATGTTGTATCTAATTGTTGACAAATGTGGCGCCCAACCGTAGATAATATTATTTGTCTTTAACCCCCATATCGATTTTTTTTATAAATAATTGTGGCGCCCAACTGTGAATTCGTTAATAAAATAAAGTGGCGACCACTTGTTAGCAATTTTGTACAATGTTCAACCCAAATTAGGGATATTTTCATACCATCAGCCACATGGGTATGTATCATTCGATAGGCCAAAACCTGATCCTAGGTCTCTGTGGTCCAAAGGGATCTAAAAGGGGTTAAATACTCAATAACCCAAATTCTAATAAAATGCGAAAAAGCATTTGATTTCTTCCAAACTTGGCACATTTCAATATTTATCCTAACACATGTTAGGTGTGAAGATGGGATATATTGGCTAAGAACTTCTGGTATTACCCCCACAAAGGGTCACATATTCATAGCTCTCATAACTTGCGAATTAAGTCAGCGATGCTTTTCAAACATGTTATGTCTAAATATCTCTCTCAACCAAATATCTGACGTAAATATAGAATTTATCGGCTACCTTCCCCACAAGTGTTTCACTTTTTGACTATCAGTTGTTCGCCTGAAATTGAAAAAAATTGATCAGGTCAATTCAAAATATTTTATTTTTTTGTTTTCAGATTCCAATATTTTTGGGCGCCACTGATCCTCTGCTACCACCCTTCGATAAAGAAGTTAGGCCAATGTTCCATGGCAAAGATGGTTTTGGTGATGTTTTGCCGCAGGATGAGGATATTGATGTTCACGAAATGGTCGAGGGAGAGCATGCGGTGGCGGCCATACATCAGTTTTGCATAGAGGTGGGTCCTTAAGACACTATAATCATTTGTATCCTAAGAATGTAACGTGTTTCTTTTTAGAATCCCAAACAGGTTACCGTCATAGCGGTGGGACCCCTAACGAATATTGCCTTGTGTTACTCCATGTATGGCAGGGATTTTTCGGAAAATATTAAAGAACTGTACATTATGGGTGGAAATCATCAAGGTGAGTATAGGACCAAAACGTGTATCATCGAATAAACCCTGAGCCAAATGGCTGAGGGTATATATATATTTTTTTTTTATATCCACAGCCATATGGCTAGGAGGGTATGTATCATTTGATACGGCCAAAAGTGCCTCATTGAAATAATGGTTTTAGATCCTAGGTCTCTTTGGACTAAATCCATTTCAGGACATTTGCAGTAAATCTAGAGGTGTCCGTCCGTCTGTCTGTCAAGCTGTTGCTCACAATAACTCTAGAAAGAAGTATCTGATTTGATCCAAACTTGAAACATCCTAATATTATTATCAAACATAGATGGAATTCGGAGATGGGCAACATCGGTCCACTCCTTCTGGCACCTACCCCACAAAAGGTCAACATTTTCAGAGAAAATTATTTAAACCATTCGATTTTGTGCAAAATTTGCCGATCCCAATATTTTTGTCAGTGCAATGTCAGGTGCGAAAATAGACAATATCGGTTCATTCCATCAAGTACCTCCCCCACAAAGGGTCAACATTTTAAATAATTACAACTCTTAACAAAAGTGATATAAGAGTCCGATTGTCTTCAAATTACACACATCACAATATTTTTATCAACCCATGGTCTGGTGTGAAGATGAAGTATATCGGTCCACGCCTTCTGGTACTTTCCACACAAAGGGTCAAAATTTTGAACACCCAAGAAGATCATAAATCGTGAAACCAACATCCGATTACATTCAGACTTGGCACATCTCTATGTTTCTATCAACACAAGATCTGTTATAAAGATGGTAGAGATCGGATCACTTCTTCTGGTGCTTTCCCCACAATAGGTCAAAATTCTCTTTAAATTTCACAAATCAATATTTTTTTAATGCAAGATCTGGTGTAAAGATGTCGGCCTACCCCTTCTTGTACCTCCCCCACAACAGGACACAGTTTACAATACTTATATCTCTTCTAACTTGCGAAATTATTCGCATATGTCTGTTTGGTTAGGTTTTAATCCTGACAGAGGCTTTTGGCATTAACTGCTCTCTCTCAGAATTTCAGAAATGTATCATACGACATTTTAAAGTCTTTTGTATTTTTTTTCAGGAGTTGGCAACTATACCCGTGCTGCAGAATTTAATTTCTACTCCGATCCCGAGGCAGCCCACATTGTCTTGACCAAAAGCAAATGTCCCATAACAATACTGCCATGGGAGCCATGCATGGATGATAAATTCTTTATATGTATTGTGAGTAGAGTGCAAATACAAATATTTTATCATTGAAAAAAAATCCTTTCTTTTTTCAGAAATGGCGTCTCGAACATTTTGGCTGTTTGGCTGCGCGCGAAAACCCTGCCGTTGAAATGCTAAATGCCGTCGAAGCTTCTCAGTATCTGAAACCCGGTTTCAAAGGTTGGAATCCCTGCGATGCCATTCTGGTCGCTGCCTTTCTATTCAATAAACAATTGGTACGCAAAGAAAGCCTATGGCATTGTATTGTCGATTTGAGCGGCCATACCCGTGGACAAATGGTTCTCGATCATTTACAGGAAGTCGATAAGAATCCGAAAAATGTACGCATTATTGAATTGGTGGAGGCGGAATTCTTTAAAAGTGCCGTCGAATGGGGTACCGGCTTGAAGGAATTCAAGTTGAGCACCTTTACCGATGTCGGCGGCAAGGAGAGTGAGGTGGAAGTGAAACAGGAAAATGGTAATTGTAATTGATCCAGATGTCAAATAATTGATTGTTTATGCCAAGATCATAAGAAAGCGTGTAATTAATATTATTCTAAATTGTAAATAATTTGGATGTTTATATGTTTAATAAGTGTCAAGCATTTTAAGATTTATATTAATTATAGTTTTAAGCGACAGACTAAGGCCAACCTTGTAGGCGACAAATTCATAGCCTTTGGAATTTAATGTTCTTTTTTTAAAATATTAAAATGTTAAGCATTTCCATGGTAGAATTAATAAGGTAAAGTCAAGCAATCTAATGTTTACAATTTTTTAATTATTCCTTTGACAACAACATCTCATTGTCAAAAAGTGTATTTGTGAATCCGTTATTGGTCTGTTCCAGAATTGCAAGAATGTAAAAATATTTACATCTATAACCGATTTTCCCTTTATGATATCGGAAAAGTTTGCAAAAATGGTAGATTCCTGCAGGTTTTGGAACATATCATTTATATACACAAGTCAGACAGGGGAACCTATATTCAATGAAGTAAACCCGTTGACATTTGATATGTTCCAGAACACTTAGAATGTAATTTTTTTACAACGATAAACAATTTTTCTTTTATGATATCAAAAAAAGTGCAAAACTAGTGGATTCTTGCAGGTTCTGGAACGGAGCAATTATAAATTACAATAAATGCAGAGATGGATATGTTTATTTGAAATGACTTTAACTTCTTAATTTTACCATCAGCATTTCCGAAATGAATATGGTTCATAATTATGAATTATTGCATAAAATTAACTATGACTATGTAAATGTTTTCCTCTAACGATAAAATAAACATGACGAATCATGACAAAATATGTTATGGGATAACTTCAACTACTCATTCTGTAACCTCCAAAATTTTATGGTAGAATGTATTCCTAAAAGTAAGTCTTAACGAACATTATTTATGAAAAAGACAGTTAATTTTTTTGTTTGCATCAGTTCTAGGTCAGTTGCGAAAATCGGCCAATTCTGTCAAGTACCTCCCCCCCAAAGGGTCAAAATTTTGATTATATATAACTCTTCTAAAATTGATGCATGTGTCTGATGGTCTTCAATTTACACATATCACAATATTTCTGTTAACCCATGGTCTTGTGTGAAGATCGAATATATCGGCACATTCCTTCCGGTACCTCCCCCACAAAGGGGCATGATTTTGAATATCCATGAAGCTCATAAAACGCGAAATCAACATCCGATTGCGTTCAGACTTGGCACATCTCAATACTCTCATACAGACAAGATTTGTTAAAAATATGGTATAGATCCGACCATTGCTTCTGGTACCTCCCCCACAAATGGCCAAAGTTTTGAATAACCAAAACGACAAAAAAATCCGCAATTAGCATTCAATTCTCTTCATATTTCACACATCCCAATATTTTTAGTTACCCAATGTCTAGTGTGAAGATGAAATATATCGATCTACTTTTTTTGGCACCTCCCCCAGAAGGGTCAAAATTGTGTATAACCAAAACGATTATAAAATCCGAAATAAGCATCCGATTATCTTTATATTTTATACATCCCTTTATTTCCACTAACAAAAGATGTGAAGATGGAATATATCGGTCCACTCCTTGTGGTACCTCCCCCACAAAGGGTCAACATTTTGAATATCCATGAAGCTCATAAAGCGAGAAAATAACATTCGATTCCATTCAGACTTGGAACATCTCAATATTTTTACCAACACAAGATCTGTTATAAAAATGGTAGAGATCAGACCATTCCTTCTGGTACCTCCCCCACAAAGGATCTAAATTTTGGCTCTCATGAAACGCGAAAGTAACATCCGATTTCCTTCAAACTTGGCACATCTCAATATTTCCATCAACGCAAGATCTGCTATAAAGATGGGATATATCGGACAATTTCTTCTGGTAACTCCCGCACAAAGAGTTCAAGATTCAAAAAAAAAAAAAAAAAGAAAACAAGTAAAAAGGCTTTAAGTTCGGGTGGGCCGATTAAATACCCTCCACCATTTAAAACAATTTTGGCAATTTTCAAAAAAATCCGTTAAAAATTCTGTTGAAGTCTTAAAAATACCGAATGTAGCCGTTATATTAGGGTCTTTACGACGACGTGGGCAGACCATTAAACCATTACAAAATTCAAATGTGAAACTTGAATAAAAAAAATTCGGATAATAATGTCGCTTAAATCATCAAAACACCGAATATCGGGGGCTAACGTTATATGGGGGCTATACGAAGACGTGGACCTGCACAGAAAATTTTCTGTCATAGACTGTAGCATCTGTTACGAACTTCAAAGACCAGATTTGAAACATCAAAATACCGAATATCGGAAGGTACCGTTATATGGGGGCTATACAAAGACGTGAACCTGCACAGACAATTTTCTGTTATGGGCTCTAGTATCCATTACGAACTTCAAATACCAAATTTAAAACAATTCCGCGAAATAATGCGGCTAATATTATTAAAATACCGAAAAAGGAGGTACCATTGTATGGGTGCTATACCAAAACGTGAACCTACATCACCCATTTTCAATACCAAAAGTCCTGCAGACAAAGTACTCATTTCTGTAAAATTTTACCAACCTACTTCATTTCGTTCAGTAGCTAGAGTGATTTCCACAGACGGACGGACATCGTTAAATCGACATAGAATTTTATGCTGATCAAGAATATATATATGCTTTGTGGCGTCTAAAATGTATATTCCCAGGTGTCAGAAATGGAATGACAAACTTAATATACCTTCCATACTATGGTGGAAGGTATAAAATTCCATGTTTTCATCAAAACTCCTTCATTATACTTACCATGCTGTTACATTTCACTAATCTCACTCATGTGTTCAAATTAACGGTCTCTCATTTATACATATTGCCATATGATTGCAAGAGAATTGTACTCTCTCTCTCTCACAATATGGCAACATTAATATAAAGCAATACACAAACAATTTGCCATCAGCTGTTTATGTTTGGTTTGGGGAAAAACAAAATAAAATAAACAATAAATGTCAGGGTGAAGTACACAATACAATAAAATAACAAAGCACAACAAAAAGTAAGAGACTAAAATAAACGGAAATACAATAACAATATAGAGAGCGCAGACACACACACACACATAACAAACAAATGCTGGCCGTCTGCTTGTATGGCGTCGACGCAGAAGCTACGTTGCCAACGAATGTCAAAAATCTAATAAGAAACAAACAATCAGACACACACACGCACTTCGCTGCTACGGCTGTAGGGATTGGCGTCGCTGTTGGTATGGCTCTCTGCCTCGTTGTATTGGGTGCTGCCAGCCAGCCATCCAATCAGTTTGGTTTGATTTTAGAACGTTACGAACTGTCGTCTGGAGTAGTGGCCGTTAATTCGCGTGTGTTAGCGGTGTGTTGTGAATTTCGGTTGCGGAAACGCGTTGTAAATGTTGTTTTCGGAATCATAGCAACATTGTTTTGAAAATCATATATTTTTGATTAAAAAATTAACATTTTTAAGAAATTCGTTTACGTTACTAAATCACGAATATTTTCTGTTGTGAATATGCATGCCCTCTCTTGGTTGGTGTTGCTAATGGTGACGATGGTGGTTTGAGGAAACCCTGTCTGGAGTTGAAAGAAGAAAGAAAAAAAGAAAAGTTGTTATTGTTTGGCCGTCGTTGTTGGGGACTTGCGGCTCCCCCGTTTTCAAGTTATAAACAAAACGAAACGGACACGAATAGAAAATCAAAATAAGTCCATCCATCTAACGGTTACCCCCCAAAGTAAACGTCGGCTATCGGGCAGAGAGATCGCGCCAAGCGGAAGGGAACAATACGAAGCGCTCGCGTGTGTCTGTGTGCTGCAGGAAAATACACTCAACATTGCGGTTGCATCGGTAGTTGACGTTTCGTGTGTCGTATGCCAGTTGTGCTGCTGCTCCTCTTCCAAGTAGTTGCGGGCATAGCACTCTTCATATTTCTGCTGCATTATTTGTGTTATATTTTAAATGCCATTATACGCGACTTCTGCGAGACCCTAATAACGACGCGTGAATTTTTGCAACACTACCCCCCAAGCAACGCCTCTTCATCGTTGTCAACCACCCCCTCGGCCACCGTCACCATCAACACCCCTGAAACGTCTTCGTTGCCATCGTCATCGTTGTCGGGCAACTTCAACAGTTCGCGCCGCCGTTCATCGTCGTCAGTTTCGTTGTCGTCGTCGCCCTTGTCATTTGCCAGTGAAAATTGTCTGATTCGCCCAAGGAATTCATCAGCAACGAAAATTCCACAAAAAATCCAAACGAAAATCATGCAAAATTCTGATGATGCAAAGTTTATTAAAAAGTGAGTTGAAATTTCAAAAAAGAAGGGAAAAAATTAAAAAAATACAAGAAAAAATAATTAAAAAAAAAAATATCAGTGCAAAAAAAGTCCAACCGGCATCCAAATGAAAAGTGTACCCCAACTAAAAAAACAAGTGTCTTAACAAATTTTTACTCAAAAAATCCAGTGGTCTCCTTAGAAAATCCATTTCAATATCAAGATCAATGAAAATGAATAATGAAAAAATTCTGTGAAAATGAAAAATTCCTTAAATTTTCATTTGTTAGTCATCTTCTCATCTAATATTCAGTTTATATCGATTTTCCGAATTTTTCTTCTGCACTGCTTGCCGAGTGTTGTTTGTTATTTTTGTTGGTATACGTATAAAACAAGAAGAAGAAGAAGAAGAGGAAAAAGTTCTTTCTGTTTTTCTTAACATTTTTCCGCGCACGCAGAGCAAAGCAGGGCAGAGCCACCCAACGAATTGTGCAGACCTACATATAAACAAACATAAACACACACACCAACTCATACTCAGCCATGTGTATCCACCAATTTGAATGAAAAGCGAGAGTACAGTGTTGCCACTGCCAACCAGGCGGGAAATGTAGCGGATAAAAATCGCCAATATTTGCAAAATTTTGAAATGAAGAAATGTCATTTTGCAAATTTTGATTTTTTATAAAAATGTACAATTGGACCTCATTTTACACCCAAACCTAGTAAAGTTCGAAGCTGGGCTATGTCGGTCCCCATGTAAATGTACATCCCGTTATTAGCTCTTTTAACGATTTTAGCCACATTTTCTGGCGGAATTGTTTAAAAACCAAAATTAAAGTTCATAATGGAATGAATATACCTCTGGGGGCAGAGCATAGGTCCACATTTCCTATAGCCTCCACATAACAGTACCTCCCAATATTCGATACTTTGACAATTTAAGCTACATTGTCTAACGGAATTGTTTCAAATTCGGTAATTAGAAATCTTAATGGAAGGTAACAGCTGCAGTTGAACATTGCCTATCTAAATTCACGGCAGCTCCCAATATTCGGTATTTTGAATATTTTTTAAAACTTTTTATAATTTTGCTTACCCCTACCCTCTATCCGGTAGGTCCTAGTTCCTCCGCAAATTCATTATATTGACGATTGAAACTAAAGTTTCCAAGGAATTTGTTTTAAATTCTGTATTTATGGTTCGTAATAGGAATCACCCCCAGCACGTTGTCTACGTAGACTCACGTTTTCATAATTGTACCTCCCTATATTTAAAAGTTTGATTATTTCAGTCACATTAAAAAAAAATAGTTTCAAATGTTTTACTTGAAAGTCATAATAGATAAAAACTTCCGATGCTGAAAATTATAAATTTTGGTCCTCGCTTTGGTATCCCTCTCATATAACAGTACCGAACTCTTTAACTGTGATCTCCAGTTAATTCGGCATACAATTGCAGTTTAAAATGGAAATCGTTCAAATAAAGAAATCCTGAGTTTTTTAAGGAACGCACTTGGGCACCACAACAATGGGAAGAAGTAAAAAAGCAGTAAGTTCGGCCGGCCCGAACTTTGAATACCCTCCACCATTTGGAAAGAATTTTGAAATTTTCAAAAAAATAAAATCCGTTAAAAATTCGGAAAAAATCTTTAAAATACCGAATGTAGCCGTTATATTAGGGTATATACAACGACGTGGACCTGTATAGGCAACTTTTGTCATAAGCCATTACAATATTCAAACACGAAACTTGAAAAGAAATCCGGTAAATTATGTAGTTAAAATCCTCAAAATACCGAATATAGGGTGGTACCGCTATATCGGGGCTATACGAAGACCTGAACCTGCATGGACGAACTTCAAATATCAAATTTGAAACAATTCCGGTTCATAATGTCGCTAAAATTATCAAAATATCGAATATCGGGAGGTAGCGTTATATGGGGCTGTACCAAAACGTAACCCTGCACAGACAATTTTCTGTTATGGGCTCTAGTATCCATTACGAATTTCGAATAACCGAGGGTTATATGAAGACGTGGACCTGCACAGACAATTTTCTGCCTTAGGCTGTAGTATCCATTACGAACTTTAAATACCAAGTTTGAAACAATTCCGCCAAATAATGTTGCTAAAATTCTCAAACTACCGAATATCGGGAGGTACCGTTATGTGGGGACTATACGAAGACGTGGACCAGCTCAGACAATTTTCTGCCTTAGGCTGTAGCATCCATTACGAACTTCAAATACCAAATTTGAAACAATTCTGGTGAATAATGCCCCAAAAATCATCAAAATACCGAATACAAGGAGGTAGCGTTACATGTTGGCTATACGAAGACGTGGACCTGCAAAGACAATTTTCTGCCCTAGGCTGTAGTATCCATTACAAACTTCAAAACCAAATTTGAAACAATTCTGGTGAATAATGCCCCAAAAATCATCAAAATTCCTAGTAAAGGAGGTAGCGTTATATGGGGGCTATACGAAGACCTGAACCTGCATTGACAATTTTCTGTCACAGGCTGTAGTATCCATTACGAACTTCAAATACCAAATTTGAAACAATTCCGGTGAATAATGTCGGTGAAATCATCAAAATACCGAATATAGAGAGGTACCATTATATGGGGCTGTACCAAAGCGTAAGCCTGCACAGACAATTTTCTGTTAAGGGCTCTAGTATCCATTACGAACTTCAAATACCAAATTTAAAACAATTCCGCCAAATAATGTTGCTAAAATCATCAAAATACCGAATATCGGGAGGTATCGTTATATGGGGGTATACGAAGACCTGAACCTGCATAGACAATTTTCTGTCACAGGCTGTAGTATCCATTACGAACTTCAAATACCAAATTTGAAACAATTCCGCCAAATAATGTTGCTATAATCCTCAAAATATCGAATATCGGAAGGTACCGTTATGTGGGGGCTATACGAAGACGTGAACCTGCATAGACAATTTTCTGTTATGGGCTCTAGTATCCATTACGAATTTCAAATACCAAATTTGAAATAATTCCGCCAAATAATGTTGCTAAAATCCTCAAAATACCGAAAATCGAAAGTACCGTTATGTGGAGGCTATACGAAGACGTGAACCTGTAAAGACAATTGTCTGTCTTATGATGTAGTATCCATTTCGAACTTCAAATACCAAATTTGAAACAATTCCGGTCAACAATTTCGATAAAATCACCAAAATACCGAAAATAAGGAGGTACCATTATTTGGGGGCTATACTAAAACGTGGCCCATTTTTAATATCAAAAGTCTTGCAGACATAATATACATTTGAGTAAAATTTTATCAACCTACTTCATTTCGATCTGAAGCTAGAGTGATTTCCACAGACGGACGGACATCGCTAAAGCGGCATGGAATTTTATGCAGATCAAGAATATATTTATACTTTGTGGGGTTTAAAAAGGATATTTCGAGGTTTTACAAACGGAATGACAAACTTAATATACCCTCCATACTATGATGGAGGGTTTAAAAAGTACGAGCCGTTCTTCTTCCGGACCTCCAAGACTGGCACATTAATGTGAATGTGAATCGCTAATGTTCAATGATAGCCTACGTCAAGTTTCAAAGATATTATTTCCATCAGATTTCATATTAAAACCGATCTAAAGTCCCAATACGCATTTACCTTTTCGTTATGATTGGCTTCATAAAAATATCCCAATATCCACTCAACTTTATTACGGTAGCCCTGCTAAATATGCATTGTGGTGTAGGGTCGGCATTGTCCTTCCATTATTGGCTTTAAATTCAGTTAGATACAACCATGGTAGAAGAATATAGGTAGACGCATCGACACAGCTGCTGGGTCAATGAACTGTCAAACCAATTTTGGAAATGAAAATGTTGAATGAAAAATTATTTAAACTTGTAAAAATTGTTGAAAATACGTATTATAATAACCTCCGAATGACGTCGTATAAGAAAACATATAAAAATCTACTTATATTTAAAAATACATTTAATTTTTTTGACATATCAATGTTCCCAAACGTTGATGCATCTACCTATATTTTTCTACCATGGATACAAACAAGGTTGCAACCATGGTACAATAAGGAGGTAGATCAGCTTCATAAAACTACAGAAATACAGCCCTGATGTTATGTCCGCTTCCTGTCAGAATTATTCAAAATTATGGACAAAAAGTTGTTTTCATTTATTTGATATTTGTTTGTTAATTTCTAAAATGAATCAAATAGCGCGAAAAGTGAATAAAAAGCCTGGATGTTCTCTCAAGAATATGATCCTAAGCGTTCAATCTTTCAATTCCATGACAAATCCGGTTAATATTATTAATGCGCGCCCCGCAATCTAAGTTTCTTAGAATCATTGATTTTGACATTGACATTGAAAATATTTTGTATTTATTTTTCAAAACAACAAATACATACACAAAATTGGCAGAAGTCGGGCACACTTAGAAAAAAATTGTAATCAGCTGGGAGCTCTACCTTACCTTTTTATTGTACCATGGGTGCAACAAACTTTTCGTGGAGCTTAAGAAAAAAACGTTTTAACTGTAACCCCAAAATTATGTGTGTGGCAACACTGTACCCTTTTGCCATTTACCGCACTCACTGAGTACGAGTGTTGACGTCTACAAAACAAGTGCTCGCTCTTCTGCTCTCTCCTGAAATAAAAAGGAAATTCTTTTACGTGCAAAATACAAGTATCAAAAAAAAAAAAGAAACAAATGAAAAGTAACAAAAAAATTAAACGGTATAAGTTGTATGAAAATGTCAAGTGATTTATTTTATTTTTGAAAATTAAAAGAAAAAATTTGAGTAAATCGTGACGTCAGTTATGAGAAAAGTTGTGTGATTTTTGCAAAACGAAAGAAAATACAAAAAAATTGAATAGAAAACAAAATTTGCCAATCATGAGTATTTAGTGTATTTGCTGTTGTTGTTTTGTGCCTAACCACCGTTATAATAATATAAAAATGTTTCTCTCTCTCTTTTCTCTTCTCCCATTTTTTTCTGTGTTATCCTTAATCTCGCGTGCTCTCTCTCTATCTCGCCTCACAACCACATTTAATGTGGCTAACATAAAAATCGTGTGCTGTTTTTGAAATATTCGAAAAAAAAACAACGAAAAATATTTTGTCACTTTGCCCCCATCGTGCCTCGTGTGTTTGTTTATTGTGCATTCGTTTATGTTGTCATGTGTTACGACAACGACAACAACAACGTTTCTGTTTATTTTTCATAAATTACTTCCTACTCCTGTTTTGGTTTTTTTCTCTACGTTTGAATAAAATTGCCTGTAACCAAAAACAACGTCTGCTCCTACAACAATTATGGCCACAACAACCTCTGCTGCCAACAACAAATGCCGCATCTCTGCACCTTTTCTAACCAAAAAACAACACCAACACCACCAATGCAGACGTTGGAAAGGTGGCAGCATTGAACCCCATCCAACGGACAAAGCTTTGATTGTCAATTATCAGCTGGAGGCCACAGTCTTTGGTGATCCGAATAATCCAATGCTGGAAGAGAAAAAGGTAAGTCTGAAGTGTGTATTTGTTTTTGTATTCTCATTTTAGCCACAGAAAATAGAATAGAAAACACAATCTCATTCTCAATTATCCTTTATAGCCTAACTCTGTGTTTGTTTGATATGGGGGTTGCTTGGTTAGATTCATTAATTTATTTTTATATCCTTTGCTAGGCCAGCCAGGAGCCATGTATTCCACCATCACTTTGGGTTTATTACCCACCCTCCGTCTGTGTGTTTTGTTTCAGAGTCCAACATGCCTTTGGTTGTTCGCTTGACGCACTGTTGGAATGACTAATGGCCACCGCTGCCTGAAAAATAAAGAATTTTGTTGTTTTGTGTTTTTATGCGGGCCTCCTCGCCCAGTAAACAATTCCGAACGTTCTTTGTTAAAATAATTCTTTTTCATGATGTTTTTGTTTTTATTTTAATTTTTTTGAATGATTCGTCATTTTAATGATATTGGCAGACCACTCAACCCACCGCTCTTTTTTTGACGACTTTGCCTCAGCGAAATTTAAATTTGTTCCTTTCATTTTCGTTTTCTCACTTCTGTTTTGTGGGAGGAAAGATGATGAGTTTGACAGCAAAGGGGAATGACGGGTAAAGATTTCAATTGTCATGCATGAGATGGGTAATAAATAAGTTTTTTTTTTTTAATTTAAATAAATATTAGCTGAAAAATACATACTCTTCAGCATGTATTTCATCAACTGAGTTTGAAACGTTGGGCGCCAAGGAAAAAAATTGACTGATTAACTATATCCTCAGCCACATGGCTAGAGAGAGAGAGGGTATATATCATTTTCTACGGCCAAAGCGTGCCTTATCGAAATAATGGTTTTAGGCCCTAGGTCTCTTTGCACCAAATCCTTTTCAGGATATTTGGAGTCGATCTTGCGATTTCCGTCCGTCCGTCTGTCTGTCTGGCTGGTGCGCACAATAACTCTCGAAGGAAGTATTCGATTCGGTCGAAACTTGGTACATCGTAATATTATTATCAAACATAGATCGAGTTCGGAGATGGGCAATATCGGCCCACTCCTTCTGGTACCTCTCCCCACAAAATGTCAACATTTTCAAAGAAAATATTTTCTGCACAGAAAGAGCAAGGATAATCCGATTTTGCTCCAGCTTTGCAAATCTTAATATTTGTGTCAGGTCTAGGTCAGGTGCGAGAATGGACAAAATCGGCCCACTCCATCAAGTAGCTCCCCCACAAACGGTTAATATTTTGAATAATTATATCTCCTATAAAATGTGATGTGTCCGATTGTCTGCAAATTACACACATCACAATATTTTTATTAACCCCAGGCCTGGTATGAAGATGGAATATATCGGTCCACTGCTTCTGGTACCTCCCCCGTAAAGGGTCAAAATTTTTAATATCCATGAAGATCATAGAACGTGAAATTACTATTTTTTTCAAACTTGGAACATCTCAATATTTCCGTCGGAATAAGATCTGTTATAAAGATGGTAGAGGTCGGATCATTCCTTCTGGAACCTCCCGCACAAAGGGTTAATATTTTTTGTTTCCACGAAGTCATAAAATTAACATCTGATTGCATTCAGATTTGGCATATCTCAATATTTTATACGCTGCCGAATGCTCTGCTGTATTTTGGCCCATTCCCGGCTAAGCGCTTGCTTGAGGTGATCGGCACTTTGGTATTTTTTAGTGCCAACCTTGATTTCCAAAATACTCCAGAGATTTTGGTGGTCATTGTGCGCTGGAAATGAAGCGAGGAACCTCATTCTGTAACCATTCTTGGGTGGCGTGAGCTGAGTGCGACGGTGCTGAGTCCTGTTGGAATGTCCAAGGTCTGAAGCCAAAATGTTTGTGTGCCCAAGGCCTTAATACACCCTCCAGAATATTTTCGCGATAATACTCGGCATTTATTCTGGTGCCACGGTCAATTAATACGAGCGGAAATCGACTATCGGCTGTTATGGCGGCCCACACCATCACCATGGCTGATGCTTGAGTTCTGGTGGCCAACCGAAGGTGCACATTTTTAGCTGACCTCTTTGGCAAGTAAACACGATAATTTTGTTTGTTTACAAGTTGCTGGACAACGAATGTTTTCTCATCGAAGCGGAGAAAACCAAATTCGGCAGTTCACCATTTTCAGCCAAGCGAAGCAACTCTTTAACTCGTTTGAGTCTATTTTCTTTCTGTTGCGGTGTAAGTTCTTGAACTTTTTGGAATTTCAATGGCTTTACCCCGAGCTCATTTTTCAATATTTGCCGAATGGAATACTGCGATATTTTCAGCTCACGAGCCATTTTTCGGCCACTGCGACGCGGGTTTCGATCAAGTTGCTTCTTTATTTTTCAAACCATTTCTGCCGATGTTGCTGTTTTCTTCTGTCCACTTCCTTGACGTCGAGCCAGTATCACGGTAACGAGTGATGGTACGAGACACAATGCTGGAGTGGTTTAACGATAGCCACTTGTGTTTTTCAGCCAAATATAGGGAAATCACACTATCACGCTTTAATTCCATCACGAATAACTTTTTTCTGGAAAATTCTCCGAAAAATGCTTTTGTACGCTTGTAAACAATATAATGAGCTGTCACTGGTATAATTTTAACAGCTGTCAGACAAGTGGCTTAGAAATGCCAGCAGTCTGTAGTTGGTTGCATTTTTTTTTTTTTTTGATCTCACTCTGTATGTTCCATTTTAAGGCCAGACCTTGGCTTAATAAAAATATTGGAATGTGTGAAATTTGAAGGCAATCAGGCTCTTACATTACATTTTCGAAATTTTGGACCGATATTGCCCATCACCGAACTCGATCTAAGTTTGATAATAATATTACGATGTACCAAGTTTGGCTCAAATCGGATACTTCCTTCAAGAGTTATCGTGCGCACCAGCCAGACAGACAGACGGACATCGCTATATTAACTCCAAATGTTCTGAAACGAATTTGGTCCAATGATACATAGGGTCTAAACCCGTTATTTCGATGAGGCACGTTTTGGCCGTATCAAATGATATACGTACTTTCCAGCCATGCGGCTGAGGGTATAAAAAAGTCCAAGATGAACTGTAGGAACAAATTAATCGATTTTTCGAGGAAGTATCGTACACTTGCTAGCATTAAATATTCAAATTTATTATTTTGGAACACGTGAATTTTAGATATATATATTGTCTTCGGCAGTAGTGCAGCTAAAAATACGAAAAATAGGGTAGTAAATTTTTAATCCTCAAACGAGCCAAGAAAGGGGTATTTTTGGTCCATTTATTAAAATATGGCTAAAAACTTATTTTAAAAGGAACGTACCAAGAAAACAATATTTAAAAAAATATTTGTCATAAAATTCTACTATAGGTCCTAGATGACGTCGAAAGTCTAAATCTTACCTAAAAACCAGAAATTCAAATATTTTAACCCTAAACCGTACGTTGTGTGAGTTTTTGGCAAAAATCTCCAATAAAAAATTCTTTCAGAAGACAAAAATATTCTTCATCATTTCAAGATACGTACCGAATATATAATTTCACTTCCATTTCCTCTCAGTGTATAAACATCCTACTCGCCATACATCCATACATCCATCTATCCATAGATCCATGACATACTAATTATTGACTTTACTTATCTTATTTTTTCACTGTTTGTTGTTGATGTTTTGTTTTTTTGTTTTTTATTTTCATAATGCCATTATATAATGACAACAAATAGACAATGCGAATGGCAAATATATCTATAAATGTGCGCGAAAATAGAAGTGCTAAATAAACATTGACTGGTGTTAGCATAAGTTAGCACCTTCGGGGCCAATTGTCTGTCGATTGTATGGCTATGGAAGTGGACAGATAGCTGGATGACCGTTGATTGGTTGTGGGCTATTGACTTTTCAGCAGCACGAATAGAGGGAGGGAGAGACAGACGCTTAGACTAGCATTCATGTAGTGTTAAGTAAATAACAGAGTTCCATGGAAATCCTCACTTGAAATCAGCGTCTTTTTTTTGAGGGGCAATTTTTTATATTTTTCGTATTCTATAAAAATAAGAGTATGGTGTTTATACAGTTTCCAGTAAGGTGTTTACATGTTTGTAACTTTATTTTCGCTTTAGTTTTTCCTTGATTATTATTGAAGCAGAGCAAACACTTGGCGTTTGTCCGCTAATTAATTGTACAAATAGTGCCAAACAAAATATGAGATTCTCCTAATTAATAATAATATGTTGGAATACAACATATAAACAATAATGCCAAAAGGCCTATATAGTCATGATTGGTACCATTACTACTTTCATGACCTTAGAAGGTGAAAAAATCGCCACTTCTCCGGACAGTGTAAAAGGTAGCTTTACGAATTTTTATACCCTCCACCATAGTATGGAGGGTATATTCAGTTTGTCATTCCGTTTGTAACACCTCGAAATATACATTTTATTTCTATGTCGATTTAGCAATGTCCGTCCGTCTGTCCGCCAGTGGAAATCACTCTAGCTTCCGAACGAAATGAAGTAGGTTGATAAAATTTTACTCAAAAGTGTATTATGTCTGCAGGACTTTTGGTATTGAAAATGGGCCTTGTAGGTCCACGTCTTCGTGTAGCCACCATATAACGGTACCTCCCGATATTCGATATTTTGATGATTTTAGCGACATATTTACCGGAATTGTTTCAAATTTGGTATTTGAAGTTCGTAATGGATACTTCATCCTAAGACAGAAAATGAGCCCTGTCGGTCCACGTCTTCGTATAGCCCTTATATAACGAAACCCCCGATATTCGGTATTTTGATACTTTTAGCGACATTATTTACCGAAATTGTTTCAAATTTTGTATTTAAAGTTCGTAATGGATACTACAGCCTATGCCAGAAAATTGTCTGTGCAGGTCCACGTTTTGTAACCCCATGGTACCTCCCTATATTCGGTATTTTTATGATTTTAGCTACATTATAAACAGATTTTTTCAAGTTTTGTCGCTTGTGACAAAAGTCGCCTATACAGGTCCACGTCGTTGTATAGAC